TTGATTTGGAGGCTTAAATTGACAAGCAAGAGATGGAGCTGACTTTCATAAGAGGGAGTGCCCTAAATCCCAGCTGATCCAACACAGGACTATCACAGTCAGGGGTTGTGAATGCAGAAGAGGACGGTAGATACCTTCCCTGGACCTTGAGGGCAGAAATCCTTTCAGCATTCCAAGGGAAGGACAAAATAAACTCAGAGATGTTATGGGGTAGTGCTGTCTTAAAACCTGTGCTTGAAAGCCTTCCGCATCTCTCATTATTTACATTTATGTGCTTTTTATGTTATTTTAAACAATCTTGTAAACTTGTTTTCCCATGACAATGTCTGGCTTCTATTTCCTTCAGGAACAAATTATTAACAGCAACAAATCTCTTTTACATCCTCCTTTATTTTTCAGCGCAAGTTATCTCTTGTAATACTGAACCAGGAATACAACCAGCAATATTGAGCCACTCTAGGTAGGGTATTTTAATACTGACACGAGAAGCACAAAATTACATTTGTCAGATTTCTCATTCATTACTTTCATTAGTATCAGTCTGATGATTTGGTATGTGGAACTTGCAGAAACCGTTCAGGATCAGAATCGGAATCAGAATAATAATATGGGAGAATCATTAGAACTTATCTAGTAAGCATGGTGGCATGGAGCCAGTTCGTAGCAGACCACATCAAGTTGTGTAAGACAAAATTTGCTGGAGCACTTCCAGAGGAGGACAACAAAGCTGGTGAATGGCCTAGAGAGTAAGTCCTGTGAGGAGTAGCTGAGGGAGCTGGGGAGGAGGAGGCTCAGGGGTGACCTTATCACTCTCTACAATTGCCTGAAAGGAGGCTGTCGCCAGGTGGGAGTCAGTCTCTTCTCACAGGCAATCACTGACAGGACAGGAGGACACAGGCTTAAGTTGCACCAGAGGAGGATCAGGTTGGATATCAGGAGGAACTTCACTGGAAGGGTAGATAGGCATTGAAATCGTCTGCCCAGGGAAGTGGTGGACTCAGCTTCCCTAAAAATATTCAGGGAAACAACTGGACATGGTACTAAGTGCTGTGGTTTAGTTGGCAGGGTGGTTTTTGATCGAAGGTTGGACTCCATGATCTGGGAAGCCTTTCCAACCTTCATGATTCTATGATTCTGAGGTACAAAACAATAATTCCCTTTCTCTGTCCCCATTTTGGAACACACACACACACACACACACACACACACACACACACACACACAAGAAAGAAATGGTGTCATTCATCCTCATCTACCCCCAGCTGCATACAATGAGAACATTTTATTGAATGCATTTTCATGGCTCAGCTGTACAAGTAATGCTAATAATTACTTGGTTATGACGGCTGGTTATAAAGTGCTGATTAAATTTTGAAACTGTCCAAGTAAACCACTGCAGTTTTGTAGATAGGCCATATGTTCTTCAGAGAACAAAAAGAAATGGTTTAGGCATACACTGCCAAAATTAAGCAAGAAGTGGTCAGGCTTTTGGGAACTTTACTTGTTTGGTTTTATGTGCACTAATAAAATTTTGGAGCTGCAGGAAAAACCAGAAAAGTGCAAGGGTGAAGTCAGATGTTGCAGTCTCCTGTTCAAAGAGCAGGTCAGAATAACTCAAAAAGATTACACACCTTTTGTGTTCAAATTTTTATTTTCTTGTTTTCTTGTTACTTTCTGTGACATGAACCAAACCAAGTCTGCTGAGCAACAGTTTGTACTTCTTTTGCAGCATCCAAGAGAGGAATTAGAAAAATTAGTGTCAAAAAGTCTAAAAGAGATATTTTTTTCCCAAGGTCTTTCAACAGAGAAAAAAGATATCTCTGTTGATAGTGACTGTAGGCTAAACAGTGGATAATGTGAAGACTCTAGTTTTAACCAGTTCCACAGATGACTGGTGCTATTCTTTAGGGTCAACAGCCAACTGGACATGAGCCAGCAGTGTGCCCAGGTGGCCAAGAAGGCCAAGGTGACAGAAAACAGTGACAGAACAAGAGGACAAGGTCATAAGCTGTGCCAGGGGAAGTTTAGGCTAGACATTAGGAAAAATTTATTCATTAAAAGAGTGATTAAGGGAATCACTTCTTGGAATAGTCTGCCCAGGGAGGTGGTGGAGTTACTCTCTGGAGAGACTTGTAAAAGGACTGGACAGGGCACTCACTGCAGTAGTTTACATGAGGAGGTGTTAGGTCATAGGTTGGGCTTGATGATCTCAAAGGTCTTTTCCAACCTAGTTCATTCTGTGATTTGCTGATTCTGTGAAACTGGTAAGGGTGCTCTGATGTTAGAAATGCTCCCAATTCCCCTGAAAGTTAAAGGAAGGCAAGGATGATATCTGGGGAGTTGCCATGTACAAATGCAGGGATGAGTGCTCTGCAAAATCTGGGTACTTCTGACTTCAGCTATTAATAACTTCAGATAGGATTTTGTTTGCAAATATAACCATCAGTTGCTATTTTTTCTAGTTCAGTTATCTACATGTGCAAGACTCATTGTTATTTAGAGGACTAGCTTAAGAGTCTCAGGTGATGGCCATCTCTGTTTGGATCTTTGGAACTTCTCATAGCTACAAGGATATTGCTAATACTGCAAAGGTAAAAAATTTCATCATACTGCAGAGCTGAGTATTTCAAGGTGTGGGATCTGGCTCTGTACAGCCAAACCACGACATTTCTTACAGCATTTAGCTATCAGTTCTCACTCTGAGTTTTTCAGGGCTCAAGTAGCTCAAGTTTTTTCCTGGATAAAGATCTTAGCTCTAACAAGCACTAAAAATCAAAAAGAAGTTTTTGCTATGTGGAATCACAAGTTACTGTTCTCTTCTGCTTACAATACCCCTCAAAAATACACAATATTGTGTATGCTTCTTTTATTTGCTTATTGTGTATAATTTGAGCTTATGACTGTGGCTCATTGTAATTCTTCCTCACCTATGTTGTTGTTATGGCTGTATTAGTGACTTCCACAGTAAACTGGAAAAGATGGTACATCTGTCTTTTCTCTGTGTCGAAACAGACAGATAGCTCCAAACATGCAGGAATAGTCTGCAGAGAGAGAGGAATTCTTCCTTCTTCCTGATTTTTTTTTCAATGTAAACTCCTTTTTCCTGCCCTTCGTTTTATAGTAGCCCATGTGTGAGCTCTTGCTCTGTTCTTAATGATTCACTGCAGACCATACTGCTGGGTAGATCTGAGTTTAGGAATCACTGATGATCCTTAAAAAACAAAGAGTAAAAGCAGAATTCTCCCCTGAGAATGCCTTTCCTGCACATTGAGATCAGAGACCTCCCCAGATGGCTTCCACCACAACAGAATGTTTTTCCCAGGAGTGCCTGAAGCTTTCATGAGCCTAGAAAGACCCTTGTGAAGTGTGTAATTAATGCACCAACCCCGCACAAGGAATTAAGTATCCTGTTTCTGACACACACATTCAAACAATATTGATCTGTTCAAAATGCCTCCCATTTGCTGAAGCAGTTGTATTGCTACAGCTGGTTTGGGGTTTTTTCCTTTTGAGAATTGACATCACTGTTTAATTAGAAAAGGGCAGCCTGCCTTAGTCTCAGCGGACCAGACCTCATACACACATCAACATTCTTGCCCTCCTCCTGCTCTTCAAGGTATATCTTGGTTTGTAATCATCTTGCTGTCCGTCTACAGGGAAAAACAAAACAAACAACCCAAGTTACAAAGTTCATCTCAGTTTGTTATATTTTTGCTTCTGTTTCACAGACCATTCTTTGACAATGTCTCTTGGTGTTTGGAAGGAGAGAAGAGTAAGGGAAAAATTGTGTTTCCAAAACTAGGAGACTCATTTGAAACATGAGAGGAAAAAGAGGAAAAGGAGGCAATGGTCAAACAGTTTAAACTGTCTGAAAAAAAAAGGTGTGAGGATTGGTCCTGAGAGCAGCAGTACTGTCTTGGACAAGGGTCCATCCTTTCTAGATGTGATTTGGCAGTTTTCTCTACTGTGATAGCATTATGCCACTAATGCAGAGATGCTCAAGCAGCAACTGAAATACTGTGTCCTAGGAAAAGTAATCAAATAGGAGAGGTTTTCAGTAGCAGATTTTTGTTCTTCCCTTTCCAGCTGTTCATGCTGAGGCATAAAGGTAAGGACAGGGGATAACCACCTAAAATTTTGAAGTCCTCATAACTAGAATAATCAGCATAGATATCAAACGGGAAGGATTTTTTACTGGGCAGGGTGCAAGTGGTGCTGCTTTACCAGTGTGAAGGTCTCTCCTATTGCAGTCCTTGCACTACAAACTCTTGTTTATGTGGAACATCCATTCAGCACACCTATTACTGAAAGCATGCTAGCTTTTAAGCTCAGGTGGCTTTTAGGCTCCAAGGACAGTTTTGCAGACATGCACTTAGCCCCAGCCAGGATTCCATGCCTATGACTATTTTCACAAGCAAAATAAGCAGAAGAACAAACTTCATAATAATGACAGGGCCACAAAGAAGAATGAAATAAAGATCTCACCTCAGGAAAGGAAAGAAAACCAATGGCAAGTTAAAATTTTTATACTGTTTATTTTCACAGTGCAGCCTCACATGTTTTACTCTGTACCATCCAGCGTATTGTAACTGTTCAGAAAATGTTTTTTGAGAAACATTAATGATCTAAAATCTATGTCCATGTGTCAGGGACAGTAGATAGGGTAAGGTAATGAATTTTCTGATGCACCAGTCTCTATCCTCTGCCCCTATAAGATTATTCAGTAGCACTAATCATACATTTGCCATGTACTCATTTTTTCAGAACATGGTCTCAAAATTTGGTCGCTGTTTATGCCCAGAAATTTCTTTGACTATGTTTTGAACCCAAGATTGTGCCACCAATCAATGCTTTGGTTTTGTGTTTAGCATTCCTATTGCAGAGTACATCTGGTATTTCATGAAGCTTTAAGATGTCTCCAATCTGCAAGATGCTTTTGGTGGAATACTTCTTCACAGCATTTGTGTTAGGTTCACTCTTTGATATTAACTCTTTTTCAGGTCCATTATGCTGGTGCTGCTGACAGTTCAGTCCAGTTCATCTTCTACCAGCCGATCATTCACAGATGGAGGGAAACGGATTTTTTCCCTTGTTCAGCATCCTGTGGTGGAGGTAATGAATTACCACTGTATTTCAAAAGCTGTCATCTGCATACATGACCTTTCCCAACTGCTGCCCTGAGTTTTGGACCTTAAAAATGGCAGAATCTAAAAATTTGAATAATTAGAACTAAATGAAGGGAGGGATTTAGCAACATCGTAGTAGTCTGTGGATTTCAGCATTGTGCCAGCCTCTGTAGATAAAGGACATTTTGATAGCTACGTACCTGCATTTAATGCTATAGCTATCAGACGTAAGGGCTGATGGGACTTGGGCCTGGATTTGGTAAAACAAGATGTCTCCATTTGTCCCTTTTCCTACCAGCAGGTTTACTCTCTATACTGAAACTAATGGCTCAATTCTTGGTGACTAAGAAACCTCAGCCTTTGTTTTTCTTTGCTTTTTCTAGACTTCTGAATTTTTGTTTGACCATACTGGTTATCTTCTGTTTCCTACTACATGTAATTTGCATTGCTGTTTTCAATCTGGCCTGTAAAACAACATCTGTTATGTCCAAAAGCACTGAAACAAGCTGAAATTAGTTTCTTTTTTCCAAACCAGAACTTAGATACATTTCAGAGCCAGACAGGAAGAATATCACATCTCATGTTATTTTTTCCTCTGTGTATCGCAGGTTATCAACTGACATCTGCTGAGTGCTTTGATCTGAGAAGCAATCGGGTAGTAGCAGATCAATACTGTCACTATTATCCTGAAAATATCAAGCCAAAGCCAAAACTTCAAGAGTGTAATCTGGATCCTTGTCCTGCAAGGTCAGTTGGCTTTAATTTTAAGGGAGACTGAGCTCTAAAGGGGTAAAATAAAATAGGAGAATATTCTGTTGCTATTTCTCACAGCGTAATTTATCATACATTATTCAACCTCTCTATCATTCTACGAATGCACAGTGTAGAACACCTATTTAGCACCTTCATAGCGTAAAGACTGATTTGAAATGGTTGTTTCTTCCCCTCAGAATGTATTTTGCCTCATTATTTTTACCAAGTATGAGAAAACAAATTCTCCAACAAATTATACCATCCCCATGCCCTGAATTCATGTGCTGAATACATGTCTCTTTAGTGTTAGTGAGATGGAAAAATTCTTTGCAGGAAAATTATTGTCATCACATTTAGATGAACAATTTTTATGAGTTGGTTGGGGTTTTTTTCCAAATTTTCTCCTTAATGAAAAGCTTGCTTGCATTTATGGCAGCTTGTAAAATGTAATGAGTGATTTTGCTCTAGTTAACAATGTTCTTTGGCCCTACATGAAAGTCTGTTCTCTGCTGCCCCCAGAATCACGGAATGGGTCAGGTTGGAAGGGACCACAGGGGGTCATCTGGTCCAGCCTCCCTGCTCAGGCAGGGTCATCCCAGAGCACATGGCACAGGATTGTGTCCAGATGATTCTTGAACATCCCCAGTGAGAGAGACGTCACAACCTCTCTGGGCAATCTGTGCCAGTTCACTGACACTGCTCAGTAAAGATATTCTTCCTGGTATTAGGGTGGAACTTGCTGTGCATTCTTCCTTAGAAGATTAACAATAAAAATAGTAAGATCAGATAGTCAGATTTCTCATGTATAAGAAAAGAAAGAAAACCACAAAAAAGACCAATCATTTGTTGCACTGATTGCCCTGAACTTCAGTGGGAGTCCATCTGCAGCCACTCAATAAGCAGCAAGCATTTATTTGTGCAATCTAAACCTTTTGGTCATCTTGTGTGGCTTTGCCAAAAGGTGGTTAAGCATTACCCAGCAGACAGGACAAGGATGCCCTAAAGCCATATTATCACCAGCTCCTTTCCCTCTAGGCGTGTTTATTACCAACTCTGATATTGTGAGTTCAAGCAAGTGTCACTGAAAAAGTTGCTGTGTCACTTCAGATTTCTGGAGGTTGTCAAAGAGAAAAGATGTCCTGATGAGTAAAAGGATACTTAAGAAAATTGTGGGGCTATGTATCCACCTGACTGAGGGTGGTTGCTGCCCAAACCAGATGTACCAGCTTTAGGGTAGCTAGGCATTATCATAGCAGAACAAATCACTCTAAGGCAATAAGTTTTACTTCTTATAGGAAGTTTTCACTGAAGTTCACTGACTTTTTTGGAGTTAACACTCAGATTTGTTTGTCATAGAAGACACCTTTACCTACAGTGTATTGCACTTTACTCCTTTAAGCACATTTGTTAGAGGCAGATGTCAGTACAGGCCAGGTATGATCAGGTAGAAGGCCAAAACATGAATGTTTCAGGAAAAGGATTGTTGAAAAATATGAATCAATATGGAACCTGTCTTCTAGAGTCACTTATCACAGTCTCAGTGAAGGTAATTTTATGTAGTTGCTTTATTTTTTTTTTTTTTTTAATTCTTAGATGCTATTTTTTTAAACCTACTCTTCTGGTTCAAATATGTAATTTGCCTCTGGAATTTTTGTGGTGGATATTTTCCATACTTTCTCAATGATTTTAAATAACATATTCTCAAATGGTGATGCAGATGACTACATGATATATGAGAGGAAAGAGGTAAAAAATAACAGCTGGGCAGATGTCAGGAAGCAATTTTGTTTTATATAAGACATAACAAGGAAAAGTTGTTGATATAAAGACCCTAAGGGGAGGGAGAGTCATTTACAAATACAGCTATGCCATCCCAGAGGACCTGGCTTTTTGGAAACATCTTCACAGTCTGCCAAATTTCAAATTGCTATTTTCAAAAGTGCCTTTGTAAAGAATTCAAGAACCAACAACCCAGATGAAGAAAAAAAAAAAAAAACAAAAAAAACCAAAAAACCAGAGAAAATCCGTGGTAACTTCTGGATTCCTGATGATTTCTCACAGTAGGGAAGATGGTAGGTGAAGCAGAGACAGGGTCAGAAGTGTGGACAAGGAGGCTCTGCAGTGTCTGTGCTATGTGGGAGCTGCTCTGCTCCACCAGTATAAAACCAAGAAGTTATTTTTTCCTGGCAACCCCAGTTCCATTGAGGCACAGCTGATTAGTGGTTGATGACTGTTCCTATGGTGTGTTAATGAATGCCACAGAAAATAATCATTGAAGACCATAGTGGTGCTGAATAAAGGAACTGAGAGTGGTTGCTCTAAACACTAAACACTAAAATTTTAAGCAAAGGGTAAGAAAAGTTTAAATTAATACCACAAGTATTGTGTGAGCCTGTTGCCTCTTTGGGTTTAGTGCATAGAAATGTTTACTTTATTGTGCTTACTATGGCAATAAGCAGTATTGTTGGCACCATGAATAGCAAAAAAGCTTAGTCTCAATGAACATGGGAAAATATGTGGATAATTATTTATCAAACACATATAACTTATACATGCTCATTTTCCAGGTTATGTAGAGGCAGCCACATATACTGTTCATCCAAGTCAGAGCAGTGATTCATGCCACAGAACAAATGATACACGATGACATTTAGTGCCTTTTAATCCCTACATAACATTGCTCCATTCAGCCTCTCTTACCAAATCTGTTTTGCATCCTTAATAACCAACAAAGTAAAAAGGAAAGACCTGTTTGTTTACAGTCCATTATGATTTTACAGCAGTCTGCCTTTGACTGGCAAAAATAAGTCTATATGCATATTACCTACTGATGTAAACAGCAGCCAATTCAATCTAGTCCACTCCCCTTCCGTGGGGCAAAATCCAGTATTAGTGCTTCACCCATTTAATTTTGGCTTTCATCTTTATCCTCCTTTCTGGTATATTTTAGTAAAAAATGAATGGATTTTTTTTTCTTGCTTAGAGAAAAGGTTTCTTCAGATTTGACTTAACTGGGTGTGCTAAACAGGATAATTCTAAGGTGCTATAAGCAGAAGATAAATTTGTTTTATAATTCCAAGACAGGCTTCCCCCCAAAAAGCAATTCAGACAAATGTGAAAAAGACTGCTGCCCCACTCATCATTCACTCATTCACCAGGATACTCTCAGTATTATTTCTAGATTTGGTCTTCAGCTTCTAGGGAGCATTCCCAGCCATGCCATTCTACATTTTTACCAATCTCCCATATTTTTTGCCTATTCCTGCTACATGTTAATGTGGGAGTTTCTGAGTCACAAAAGGTCTATTTGTATTTTTACTAGGAGATTTCAATGTCATATAAAGATTTCTAATGGCAGCTTCAGCAAAGATTCTAAATTCATAAAGCAACTGTCTAAAAAATTTTGTATTAGCAAGCCTCTAGTATAAAGTGTTCTTTTTAACACTTGAGTTCCTGGAGTTTGCCTAGAGTTCAATCTGTAAGCCTGCCACTAGAAATATTGTTTATACCTGTGGAATAGTTTGGGGAGGGGGGGAGAATCTCTCATTTCAGCAAGGTTTTTAGTGTCCAGAGACCTGAAGAACTCTTAGATATACCCTATTTATGGAGTCCTCCAGTGAAATTGCAAACTCCTCTTCCTGCTTGTCAAAGTTTTTCTTTTAGCATTCTCATTTAAATATCGATACCATGGTGGCAGAGGTAGGCATTACAAAAAAAGAAATTTAAAATTCAATTTAAATTTTAACAAAATTGTAGTTTTCAGTTGTTCATTTTCAGCTAACTTAACAAGCACACTGAAGTACAAGTAAATGCATACAAAAGACACCAGGACGTTACGGCTATTCAGAATTATTGTAAGCAGTGAGAAGTTCATAATATGCTTGGCAGTGTGAAAGTGGAGTTGTAGATGGAAAAGGAGCTGGTACCAATGGCAATTTTCTGGCAGGAATAATTTGGGTTACCCAAGCTCAAGAGCAGCAGATACCTAAAGAGATACATTTCTTCTCAAAACAAGTAGTTGAAACCTTGAAATTTTGGACAGGGCAGAAGTAATCTAAATGAATCTAGAAAATTTAGATTAGGTAGGGGGGGTGGGCCAGGAAGCATTTTTCAAGCACTTAAAAGATGTGAATAGCAGAGCAAATTCAGCTCTGAGGGACAATACGTCTTAATGAAACATGGAAAGAAAGGCAGAAAGGAGTTCCAGAATTCTTCCAATCACAAGCTGTAAGGTGGGAAAATATATCACATACTGTTATGGGCATCAGATACAGATATCTGTCTAGCCAAGATGAAGTTGTAGGAAAATTAGTCTAGTTTAAGTCCTAGAAGATGCCAAAACTGCAGCAAGTCATTTACAAAGATTTTCACTGGACATTCAGTTGCTAAAATTTAGTACTGTTAACTACTTATCAACTCATTCCCTCTTTGTATCAAAAACTGCTCATCCAAACCACAACAAAATATTGAACTGAATAAAAAAATAGGAGATGTTTAGAAGCATTACAGTCATGCTACTGAAACGAATTACTTTTTCTGCTTTTGACTGGAAACATCTCTTTAGAGCACTGTGAAGAGATTGGGGTTTAGCAGTCTATGGCAATGACAAACAAAGTGATGTTTAGAATTTAAAATCTGCACCATAAACAAGACATTTTTTATAAAGGTAAGATACTGTCATGCCAAACAGACATTCTGTTTAAAGCAAGAGGTGTTTTGGATGCTGACACAGAAGAATGGCTTCCTAAATAGTGTTTTTTGTTCATAAGTGGGTTTTTAAAGTATCCACTGACATACCACTTTTAACTGTTTAAGCAGCAGACATTGGCTTTTGCCAATCTGTAAAGTACTAAGAGCATATAAAAGGACCAATACATATGATGTACATAGTAGTTCAGTTTCACATTGATAACATCCAGAAACCAGAAAGGTGACTCATACTGGTACCATAACTGAGAAGTACTGTTTCACTACCTACAGAATAGGCACTGAAACCAGTGTGGCCTGTACCCACGGTGTTACTGTCACCTGCCCCCGCTCTGAAGAGAAAAGGTTGTAGATCCCCAGAATAATACATGGGAGGCATTAACAGATACCGTCTGTCAGAGGATCTCATTAACTGTTTCTCAACATACAAAGTGTTCTTATCAAGGAGATACAGTGTGACATCTTCAGAGATCACTGAAATGCAGTACCACCCACCACCTTAGTGTCAGGATTTGAAGTGTTAAAATGCAGTCTTTTGCACAAGATTGTTGTCTGTCCAGTGAAAATCATGACTTTCACAGAGATGCTGGCTTAGATGCTAAACTGTTGTCTCTAGTGGTGAGCACTTTCATATCTTCCAGCACAGCCAACCCAAGCTACTTTAACATTTCATTATTATTTGTTCGCTGCTAATAATGTCTTAAACATGTTCCATTTCTTGGATGGCACAGTCCCTGCCATGCAGATAATGTACTCTCAGGTCTGACAGATATCAGTGAAGGCTTAAACCTTCACATGCAAGTTTGATCAGGAAAGAGGTGTAATGGGTGCAGCCACCCAGGTTATTGCATGGGCAGCCCTGCAGCTGTCAGTAGGACACCCCCAGCAAAACAGAGCCCTCAGCAGAAGTGGAGGCTATGAGCCAGAAGCACGTGAGCATGCTGCAGAGGCTGGGCAGCAGCACAGCAAGGTGCAGGACATCGGTACAGGAGTGGCAGGTTGTCCCCATGTGAGTCACACCACCCTGAGGCACCTTGGGAGCGGATGTCCTTTCTCTCTGCTGGCTCCTCTCAGTTTTAGCACCCCTGCCCCTGCTTGGCTCAACAGGTTGAGAGACTCATCAGCATGCAGGAGAGAGAGCTGGGGAAGGCTGGCCTTGTCAGAAAGATGGAGTCATCAGGGAGGTAGAGGAGAAAGGCACTGGAGCTTAAAGCTTGTCATCTGTGCTAAATCCGGTTAAGCAGGAAAAGGAGCAACTGGGGAGGAGTTGACCAAACTTGTCTTCCAAGGAATGCAGCTGTGGAAACTCATCCCAGGGGAAGGCTGAATGTTTGCAGAGATGGCAAATCTGATTGCAGCACTCTCACCTCTGGCATGTGCAGCTCCTATTTCAACCATGCCTTGGAAGGGCAATTGTGTTGAGACTGCCAGCCCTCAGGAGGAAAAAAACCACAATGTGCAGAATATATGATAGGACTTGTTGGTCTGAAAGGCATGGTAGATTGCAGACATATGAGACAGAACAGCGCTGCAAAGTAATTTGCTTTCTGCTCCTGCTCCTGCCAAATCTCTTGATGTTTTGTGAATGAGTCCTGTTAGCTACTCGCACATATTTCAGTGAAGGAATTATTATTTCCTCTGCTCGTTTAGCACACCATCCCCTTTGCATTATCTGGATAATGTGCAGTAAATAGACCCCATAAAGTAGATCTCTTCTATGTTGTTTATAGGAGTATGATGGACTGATAGAGTAATGGAATTTAAACCACTTTGTCCCATCAAAAAGTAAGAATACACTGAAGTAATCTCTTAAGTTTGTTTTTTTTTTAAGTGTTAACTTAGGGATTTTTTTATGGAGCACATACAAAAACCTCACACAAGACTAGCTAGAAAAGTGCAGATGGCATTAATGATATGATGGCCATCTGCTCTTCTGTTTTAACTTTTAAGACAATTCTTTTTTAAAGTCATAAATTAAACCATTGTGTATTATTGTGGGGGTCTTTTTCCTTGCTAAGACTTTATGGCTGTGATTCATTTTCTTGTAGTTGCAGAATGAGAGCCTTTGGCAGCCTTTCACATATGGACAAAGACAGAATCAGTAAATCTGTGGAGCTCAATACTGTTTACAGAAATGTAATTTTTGCATGCAAAATTTCTGAGGGTCAAACCTTTCCACTTACAATATTAACCTAGTGCTTTGTAAATGTTACTTAATATTCATAACAGTTTTTGAATATGTTACAGTTATTTCTGTCTGAACAGTCTTGGAAGTAATGCGTTCTAAAGCATGTAGACTTGGATTACTCATAGACAATCATATTTATTAGAAATAAAATATTTTTCACTGCAATGAATTAGAATTTTATTGAAATTTGCTTCTTTCTTAGGCAGTAGATGCTTTTATAATGTAATTATTTTATTTTTTAACTCACTATGTTAACTTTTTTTCCCATCCACTTCTCAGCAAGATGATGAGCTGGAAAGTGCAGACAGAGAGCTTCAGAGGGGAACTTCAGCAGCAGTAGTTGAAGAGTCAGGAAAATAGCAAATTTCCAAGGCAGGGGCAAAAAAACCATCACAAGAAGTTCTTTCCATCATAAAATACTAGTACACAATTCCTCCACATTCTATAGATGTCTACCCATCAGGCTAAGTCTGAAAAGACTTGTTCGTTGACCATACTCTAAATGACCCATTTGTCTTTTCCCAGTGCCAGAACAACCTCTCCTAGATTTTTAGATTTTTGTGAGGACAAGCAGCTCTTCGAAAATGCAAATATGCGCACTCATGCAGAGAGTTCCTGTGACTGCAGTGGCTGCTAATCTTAGAGGGAACTATCTAGTCCCTCTCACACACTTCCAGGGCTCCAGCTGCTTCCCGCGCTTTAGCTGGAAAATTCCAGCACGCTGACCTGGCGCTGACTCCTTGCTGTGGAAACACAATGGGATCCATTCTTCTATCTTGGACAAGTTATGCATACAAAACCCCTGTTGACTCAAAGGAGAATAGACCCCTTTAGGCCTGGCCTGACAAGACTCCATTGAATGCTCACAGCATTTTTCAGTGAGCATGGAGGATGGAGAATACTTTCTCCCTTTCCCCTCCCTCACTTCTGCCCCCTTGCAGAAATCCACAGCAGCATACCTACCACCTCTCATCTGTAAAAGGCTCCCAAAACCACCTCTGTTCTTGACATTCATTTTCTTTCATCTCTCTGTAACTTGGATGGAGACACACTTTTTATTTTATTGCAGTTAGTATTCACTTCTTGATTCTTCTGTCCACTTGCCCCATCCAAATACCCAAATGGCTTTGATGAAGGTGATAAATTAGGTCCTCCAAGAGCATCTGGTTTATTTTAATAGATATGTCTGATAACTAGGAAACAAAATGGTTAAAGTTACTCTAAGCCAAAATTATAAACAGTGCAGACAAAATACGATATTTCAGACCAGCAATTCAGTGAGATCCTGTAGTTGACAATGAGAAAAGTGGCATCCATCTCACACATAACTGGCAAGATAATATTTCAGAAAACTCCTAATTTTGATGTACGCTATTGCCTTCTGTAACTTTTAGATTTTACATTGTGACACCACACCAATAACAGTTCAGCAAAGCAATCCAACCAGTTTTGACAAACTAAAAAATTCTACCTGACATATTAATCTTTTCTCAGGCTCCTTCTTTCTTTCAGAGAAAAAAAAAACAGGTCTGTACTAGTTTAAGGTGAAGAGACAGGCATTGCAGATACAAATTCTTGCGCTGTGATTACCCAGATTTCTAATCCTGTACCCTGTTTAAGGAGAGGTTTTATTTGATGGGCAGAAACAACCATAAAAATGTTATAAAAAGGAATTTATTTAGAGGTCTGCCGCAGATAAAAGTTCCCCTATTGTCATCAGTGACTTTGGATCCAAGCTCCAAGAATATATCAAGTATAGAAACATTCTTTTTGATGCTAGATAATAAAAATGTAAGTTAAAATAATATTTGGGTCACTTTTAGCAATAGATTGCTTATTTGTCCAACAGTAATCTATTTATAAGAAAAAAGTAGTAACCACTGATTTATTCTTTGAATTACTCAGAAGAAGTAGGATGGGAGTATATATATTTTTTTTAATGGGATAACATCTTAGGTAAAATATCTTGTTTTGTTGATTTATAATACTGTAATATAAAAAGCTGTGTAATGTAATACAATATTGTAATACAAAAGTTGTATAATGTAATCATCTAGTGTTTATTTTATTATGTGTACCTTCTACTCAGAGGGTTGGCATTATTGTTCCTAACAGTGATGGATACAAGCAGATCATGCCCTATGACCTCTACCATCCCCTTCCTCGGTATGTAAAAAAGTCAACCAGATGCTAGGCTTAACAAATCTGTTTTCTTTTTCTTTTGTTCTTCTCTGTACTCCTGCTCTACTCTCAGGCTAAATTCTGCTTCTCTGGACTCTTACACATTAATATAGAGATGTTCAAGTGCTAACCTGTTGTAATAAATTCTGTCAATGCAGAACTGAAATTAAAGCCTAACTGAAGGAGAAGTCCAGGTTTATTAAGTGTGTGATCTCTTTCTTTCTCTCATTTCTCAACCTCACTTCCCCTTTTCTCTCACAAGTTTCCTATTCTTGCCCTTTACTCCTCTCTGACCAGAACTTCAATCTGTGGCTTTATTGTGAACCACAAGATTTTGTCTCCCTCACCCCCATTTGGCTGCTTCTTGCATGCCTATAATTTGTGAGATTTTGAGTTTTGGCAATATTAGTGCTGTTTTCTGATCCTACAAACCCATGCTAATGCCTTTCCCAGGGACATTCATTCACTGGCTTTTCTAAGAAGTAGGTGTTTAGGGCAGGAATAGGATCAAGACCTGATTATTATCATAAATTGTCTCACAATTGTCTTTAATGCCAGACTCAAGATTCTCATGGAAATAATCAGATGAGTAACTATTTTTAAAGTAGTGAATAAGACTGTTGATTATAAAAATTTTTGATAGCTGAAGGATAATAACCTCTAGGTTTTAAAATACTGCCTGGACATGCAAAAGTATTGGGCTGTGTTTTCTTCTTCATTAATTTATTGTGTCTTGCATTATGAAATCACAGAAAGAACACTCTAGACAACCTGATAGTCTCATGCAGGTGAGGAAACAACCTCCATCCAATTGTATTGAGGCCTGATGCACAGAGGTTTCAGCATGAGTGTACAAATGCAGTGTATTCATACTCCACAGTCTCCAGCCAAAACATGGAGCAACCTCCAACTGAGAACAAAACTCTCTGCTATATTTAAGCTACTTGAATTTGCTAAGGTTGCCTAAAACATCTGGAAACTTGTCCCAAAGACTTCAGGAAACTTCCTGGTGTCATCCATTTTTAAGGCTAGTAAAAGCTGGCTTACATGGGTTGAGCCATTAAATTTTGAGCCAAGCAAATTTTGCAGTTCATGAATTTCAGTTTTGGGCCTCTTGTTTGTGGTAGTAAGAAACATTAGCTGTATGTTGGGAAACTTGTTCAGAAGAACCACAGGAAACACATTTAAGTAGAAGTACCCCTAAAATTACATCTTTGTAAAATATGTGACTTATAATCAGCACATGATGATGGCTGTGCTTGGTGTAAAAATTGTTCCACCACTCCTAGTGGTAAGTCACAGAATTAATCAGTGGCTTTACTACTCATAAACAACTTTTAATTTAAGCCATTTCACATTGAATTTTATGGTGCTACTGGACAGTAGCCAGGTCAGGGTATTGCTAGGTGCTGATAAGTAGATTGTGGGCTGACATGATGGAAAATTAGAGAGAAAGATAAGCATTTTTCATATTGCTCAACAATCTTGGGGATCCTGTATTTGTTACTTAACAAAAATATTTCCTTTGTTTTAAGTGAGACAATAAAAGTCCTCACCTTTCAGTTTTTATACTTCTTGTCTGAAGGAGGAAACTGGTGAGGTGTTTTTCACAAAAACTGTTCTTTGAGATTAAAAACTGAAATCTTTTGACCAAAATTGTTGTTTCAAACAGTATTTGTAATGTCATTATGGAAAAGACATTTGCCTTGTGGGCTACTGAATTATTTCATTAAATGTTTCCAGGTGGGCAGGACAGACATACTTCTGTACTTCAGTCATACACAGTAATGTACAGAAATAGCCACACTAGATCACGGGAATGGTCCCACATCCTGTCTGTGACAAAGGCTTGAATATAAGAGAGGCAATACCAGACTATTTTTTGTGGACAGACATGTGTGTATATATATATATATATATATATATACACACACATGTAATGCATACCTTATGGCATATGCATCACTAAAAAAAGGATTATTCTCGTAAGTGTACATAGCTTTTCAGAACAAGCATATGTTCTTAGGATTTTTCATTGCATTCTCCATGGCACTTGTAGAGAAAAGATGGGTTCTCAGCTCCTCTCACTGCCTTAACTGTAAGGAAACAAGGTCCACCTGGTTTATCCATCAGAGGACATGTATCTTAGAAGTATGGTCATGTTTTTCTTTTTGGTGATTTCCTCTCATCTTTCTTGCTTTTTTCTCTACTGAGTTGCTTCCTTGGAAAAAAACACTGCTCTTTCCCTTCATGTTCTGCAAAAGGGACATGAGCCTCACAGCACGCTGTTTCCTGTGATTTGTGACAAAGATTCCTCAGAATATGAGAAATTATGAAAATATGATAATCCCATCAATTAAAAAAAGGAAAAACAAACAACTAAGTAAAAAGTATTTAGATTTTTCTGTGGCAGTAGTAATTGGATTAGTGGAAGAGAGGAGATTTCATATTATTAACTGTGGTGTAAAAGACACCAACCATGAGCATGCTTTGCTACTGTGGACACCTGTGAAAACAGATGCATGATTAATTTTTACTGATGTTACCCCAGTAAAAAAGCTGAGCCAAGCTGAACCAAAAAAAAAAAAACCCCAAAACCCCACAACCAAACAAAAACCCCCATACAAACAAGCAACCTTTCAGACAGCAGTTTATGCATTTTGGGGGTACAAGTGGGGGTGGGAACAAGAAGGATAATGTTTCCTGATGCCTCTTTGTTTTCCCAGATGGGAAAGTACACCCTGGACTGCCTGTTCCTCGTCCTGTGGAGGGGGCATTCAAAGCCGCAGTGTCTCCTGTGTGGAAGAAGACATTCAGGGGCACATCAGCCCCGTGGAAGAATGGAAATGCATGTATACTCCAAAGATGCCTGTTGTCCAGCCTTGCAATATATTTGACTGTCCAAAGTGGCTTGCTCAGGAGTGGTCCCCGGTAACCAATTCAGTTTTGTTGGTTTTGTGTTTAACCCACTAGGGAAAATATCTTAAATTATACTTCAGTGAGTTTTTAGAAGTTAGGACATTTACTGTTTTCTCTCATTACCAACACCTGTATTTTAAATTATGCTGTTTGCTAACTGCAAAGCAACCACTCAGGAAAAATATATTAAAATGAACATGAACAAGGAGAATGGTGGAAAAATAAATCAGTTCTGTAACATTATTTTGTGACCTTCTACTAATAATAGACTGGGAATATAAGTGAAATGCACAAAAAAACCCCTATAAGTATGTAATGGTATTTCTGTATTACAGTATTTCAGTCATAAATTGAAATTCTAACTTGCTGACAAATTTCAAGAAGCACATTCATCTATACATGACTCTGCTCTTTGATACCTGATTTTGTCTATTCCTGACTTGCCTTTCCTTCTCTATAAAAGTAAATGTCTTGGAAATGTCCTTCCACAAAAGTAGTGAAATATTTTAACTTTGTACATAAAGACTTGGCTTGAATATATTTTCTCACCCCCTCCAGTTTCTCACCAAGTAAATTGTGCTTTAGAAGCTAGGCTAGCTTACCTACAGATGAGGTGATTGCAAAGTGTTTGTTGATTTTCAGATAAAAGCTGCTGTCCAAGAGCAAAACAACATTGGTAACATCCATAGCACTTCCAACTGATTAGTACTCTTGACTGTTTCCTGTGGAACCAATTTTGAAACAATCTGTGCAGGGGATAAAAGTTGATGAACCAGAGCAAAAATAAATTAAAAAAAAAAACTTAAGAAAGTGTCTGAGAGAAGAAAGTCTGATAGTTTCCTATTCTGTTTGGTGCTTTTTTCCAGAATAGCTGAGTGTAGTCCCTGTTGATGCATAAGCCCCAGTACTTTGTCCAAGCAAAACAGAGTGGCTCCAAATTAAACTGACAGGGTGTTACTGAGCATATCCAATATGGGACAGATGGCTACAAGCCAAGTAGGCAACATTGCAAAAGTGGCACTGCAAGAGAAATCCAGTGACAAAATGTCCAAATCCAGTAAATATTCTGAGCAAAAAGGCAAAAGTTTCTGTCAATTTTACCTTATCCATAATTACCACATATTATGAATATTTTGTTTTCAAGTTTGGCTGTTTCTGCATCATGTTTGGCTCTCTTATGTTGCATATTCCCCTTATGTTTATCATTGCTTTGTGTGACTTTTTTTTTCTCCTTTTCATTTTCTCCTTTTATGTTTTTTTTCAATCTAGTGCACTGTGACCTGTGGACAAGGACTCAGATACCGTGTGGTCCTCTGCATTGACCACAGGGGGATGCATACAGGAGGCTGTAGTGCTAAAACAAAGCCACACATAAAAGAAGAATGTGTCGTACCCACTCCTTGCTACAAGCCCAAAGGTAATGAGGCAGAATGTTTCTCATAAATTTTTCAGGGCTCTTTCATGTTCAGCTGTTTTGTTTCGCTGCTGGCATCACTGTTTCCACTTGCACCTGCATTATGATTTTGCACCTGTCTGTTCTGTCTGCCTGCCAGCAGCTTGGAGTGAGTGCTGACTCTTTCATCTTACAAGCTTTGGGGTTTTCATAGTTAATTTGTGGTCCAGCAGACTAAGCAATAGAAATGTAAATTTAGCTGTATTTTCACTGTTTACATCCGAGCTAAATGCAGCAAGATGCAGAAGAGATCTTGGGCTGCAAACCATCCAAAACTGACTTCTGCTTAGAAGGATGCACGGCCAGCTAGGATCTATCTGTCATAAAATGTCTTCAAACAGGGGTCATCAGGGAGCAAAGTAAATTACTCCTTTCTGGAAGCCCACCCTTGCGAGAGCATGACACCTTTACCCTGCATAAGATCTTCTGCTGCCCTTTGCAGCACACACATGCATAATTTCTGAATGTAGGGAGTTACTTCCTAAGTCTTCCATTATTTCACATGGAATGAAAATTCCTGTGCAAAGCTTGGCGTAATTTGGTTTAGTTTTCCTCCTCATCTTTGTTCTGCAACACTCTCACAGTTTTCCCTTCATAATGCAAGGTGTCGTGTTTGAATATCAGTGTATCTGAAGGCTGAGCAGTGGTTTCAGAAGAGTGTTGGACTAGATGGTGTACAAGGTGCCATCCAACCCAAATTACTCTATTTTTAGGCTAGAAATTTTTCCTTTTTATTTCACACAACTAGAGTTAAAAATTTAGGGCAGAAGGGGTAATGAACCTCTCATCTATTGCATGTTTTAGTCCTAGACTGGTTTTTTTGACAGCTAGATTAACACAAAGCAGAATACAGTCTTACTAGCTGACAGAAGCAGCAAGGCAAAAAATGTGAAAGTCTTGCTTCTCTTAACACCCTGTAAAAAAGAAACAGAAGGCAAAATTGCAAAAAAGAAATAGAAGGCAAATCGTTCATATACTTAATTTCATTTTAGTTTGTTCAAGCCCTAAGGCACTTTATATTGCACCAATAATGGGAAAATGTAGGATATCACTAGATTGAGTAGTGACTTTCACTTTTTATAGAGAAGGTATATTCATCTAATACAACTTTCTGTGTAATATAAGTGTTTTTACTGGAAGTGTTTTAAAAAAAAATATTTTACTTTAATCTCCAAAGGTAAAATTTTCTCCTTAGCTTATGTTAGAAGTGCTTTTTGTTCATTTTTCTGTCAAAGCATACTGTACAACATCAACATTTCTAATCCTCTAACAAATTTTGCAGTGTATGTGCTAATTAATTACACCTGTAAAAAAAGGAAGGTTATTTAAAAGGTCACAAAACAGGCTGTGTTAGGCAAGAATTTTGCTTTTTACAAACACTTGCATCTAAGCAAAAAAATCACATAAGTAATTTGTGATTTTTCCAAAACCCATAAAACAAATTGTAGAACATAGAAATATTTCCTACATATTCTGGATGATTATTAAAATATAGATTAACCTAAGAGCTGTGATGGCATTCATCCTTAAATGGCATTAATGTGTTAGATGAAAAGTGTGAAAAGCTGTTTTTAAGATAGAGGAATAGTAATTCTATTATTACCCCTCTTTTCCTCAGTTAATAACTTGCTCTAAGGAAATTTGCATGACTAAAGTTGCAGTAGCTGTTCAGTCAAGTTGTAGGTGATTTTTCCTTTGTCATACAACTGAGAAATGGAAAATTTCATGTGCATGTGTGACATGTTCTGCACAATAGAGCCACAGAAAATTCCTGACTATTCTGAACGACATTAACCTGCTCCTATTGGCAAGTACAAGTCCATCCTTACTCAAACCCAAAAGGCTGAGGTGATTTGTGAGTAGCAAATAGGTTTGGCTCTGGTTCTCCTCAGTAGTCTGAGTCTCACTGCACTTTGTATTGTTTTCCCCTGATCCTAGCCCAGAATGTTCTGTTGAAGTGCAGAGCGCCTTCTCAACCTTTAGTGCCAGGTTTGCTCTTGCTTTATACCCGTGTAGAGCTAAAACAGCTCTGCTGCCTCCAGCTCAACTATTCCGCTCTGACCCTCCATTAAAGTGGAGTTTGGCTTGCAAAGCAGCATGGCCCTGCATTCCCCAGAGCAGGGCAGCTCATTACCCTGTGCACACATCCTGGAGAGGGAGAAAAGCAGCTCCACTGTTTTCCATCAGGAATGACAGAAAAAGTATCAAGTTCATTTTTTTTAATCCACATAGCTGATGAAATGATAAACGGAGTTGAAAAGCATTGCTCAGCCATTTAATTATAGTTTTCCTGTTTGTTGTATCACTCATCAAAGCAGGATTTTCATTGTTTTTGTAATCTCCCAAAACCAAGCTCAGCGTGTCTTCTGACATTGTGAAATTTAAATGTAGATACAGGCATGTTACACATTTTGCCATGTGTAATGCAGGCCTGTAACACTTGCAAGTTTCCCTCCAAAAAAATAGTTTCCAAAGTGCCTACTTTTATAGACCCGTTGTATAGTCTGAAAGGTGACAGTTTTAATTTGCCTGTCTGGCTTTAGGGCACTGTCCCTTCTACCTGCAACAGTGAAATATCTGGCCATACGCCCTTGTAAACAATATAGTCTAGGTGATGAAAGAGTATGTTTCTCTCCCCTGTGTTCTCATTTCTCTTTGTCTTCCTTCTGCTTGGTCCCCGTGTGTGTGAAGGCATCCATACATCACATTCACACTTGGTGAGCAAAGGGAGGGTGGCACACATAGCAGTGTTACCACATGCTTCCTATTTTCACAATCTTGTGTTTGCTCCATAGAGAAACTTCCCGTGGAAGCAAAGTTGCCGTGGTATAAGCAGGCTCAAGAGCTGGAGGAAGGAACAGCTGTATCTGAAGAACCCTCGTAAGTCTCAAAAATTTGCTTACAACAGGTTCTTGTTATGTGATCCTGAGAAGCTGTGGTTGCTCCCTCCCTGGAGGTGTTCGAGGCCAGGTTGGATGGGGCTCTGAGCAATCTGGTCTAGGTGTAAGTTGTCCCTGCCCAAACCATGAGGAGTGGGAACTAGAGAATCCCTAAGGTCCTTTCCAATCCAGAGTCCTCTGTAGTTCTGTGTTTCCACAAGGGAGCCTGGGACTGGCACAGAACTAGCACAATCTCCTGAATGTATTTGTCTTCTGCTAGAGTGTAAAGGATGAGCCCAACCCTGTGGAAATCCATGGTCTTAAGGCTGTATCACACTTAGGTTCAAAGAGATAGATTTCAAGAGGGTAAATGCAAATTTAATTTAATCAACTAAATGCATTTTATGTAAGATCATTATAAGAGTATTATAATAAAAGTGCATCCACCTATGTATTTATATGCTCTCTATTACCACTGTCTCTTCACAGCTTGGCAACTTCCATACACAGGGTCCATCAATATCCAGTTCCTTGTGTCTGAGCACATGGCATTTTTTATTACAACTGCAACTATGTATTAGATTAATAAAACATAAAAATGCAAAGCGTTTTTATGCAATATAATTGCAGTTTTGGCATAATTAATCTTAATTGAAGTAATTAGAAACTGAAGCATTGCCAGCAAGCTGGAGACATATGTAATAAGTCCTCCAAAATAAAAAAAAAATACCCAGCTGCCATATGTATATATACACATACATATAGACAAATATATGTATAGAGAAGCATTTCTACACACATATACAGATATTTTTTATACAGACAAATACATTTGTATGTCTTTATATATATTTGTTGAAGCTATCACATAAGGTATAATGAGATCTTTAACTGCTTCCAGAGTTCCACAGACTTTACAGGTTGATTAATTCAGAGTCAAAGCCTATAAAATTTGATATTTGTGGATATACTAATTTTTCATTTGTATAGTGTATTGTCTTGTGTTTTTTCTCATGGCTATACTAAATTACTTAGTTAAATGTGCATTTATCAACCTGTAAATAAACCTTGGGAATATACATAAAATAGGAACAATACTGATACACTGCTATCAAATTACTCTGGTCATATTCAGAGTAATTTGTTACATTAAGAAAGGTCAGTTTTGTGAACAAGGTTGATTGCACTGTAGAAAAGGAGTATAGGTATATATATGTTTGTGTGTGTATGTGTATATACATATATGGATATATGTAGCTTTAAGAAATAACAAGAATGGATTTGAAGAGAATAGGCATAACCTCTTGTTTGTCATGATGTGTATTTTAATAAAATATTGTGGAAAACCTTACAGGTATACTACTGTGATGCTAAAACACTCCTTGAGAGATCTAAAGGGAAAGGGATTTAAGAATTTCAAATTGTTTTCAGTGCAGTTAGGACATCTGCATACTTCATGCCACTGCTCTGCTGCATTGGAGGCCGTTTTCTGCAAAGACTGCTGCATTTACTGCAAGGCTCCAGTCGTGCCAGTGGGAATAATAATACTAGTATTCCTATTCTGGACAGTGGGCCACAGTCCAGATTAGATTCAGTCTGCCATGAAGTGACATTTCCTACATATGTTTTCTCCCTGCAAAGCAGACCTCTAGGAGTATTTCTAATCTTCATTTTAGGCTGATGAGAAACCCAGTAAATATAAGTTCAAGCACATATTTATATTTGTTGACTAACAGGAAGAATAAAGGGCACGAAATCAGGGTCTTCACACAAACTTTCCCAAAGCTCAGAGATGCCTTGAGTTTCCTTTAGAATGGTTTTTGGTGATAAGGCATGAGACAGGAAAGCCAAATAAAAACTTAGAAAATTTGTGCTGCAAGAACCATCCATGCAATCCCCATTTGTAAACCATAACATCCATCTGCATATTGTAAAATATCTAATCTCTTTCAGGAATCTTGAGCAGTGAACTTCCACCTAAAATTGGTTTTGGTGCCTCACTATTAACATTGTTTTTCATTAATGTCTGACTTTAAACAGTTACTCATTTTAGGTCCTCATTATTAGATTAAAAAACTGTGTGCAACAATATAAAAATGGAGACAAAACATTTATAACACACCAAAATACAAGGAACAATCAGCTTTCGGCCCAGCTTTCATTCGGCTGTGTAGGGATTTCAAACACACTAAGTGTGAGGTGTATTCCCTGATAATGCATCTTTTGGCTAGTGCTTCTGCAACTGGGCAGAGACACAATGTAATATTCCATGGCCCACCACCCTTACAGATGTCAGGCTACCACCCACATATTTTGGCTGATGAATGATCATACTATGGCTGATTAAATGACTTTCCTGTTCACTCTGTGTTGGAGCAGCAATTACCAATTTCATTACCCCACTTGGGCAGACATCAGCAAGGATTCATTCTTCTCCCTCACTTCATCTGAGGCTCTTTCCAAGCTTTCTTAGGCCACCAAGTTCCTGACTGCCCCCATTTTCCTCTACAGACAGGGCCATTCTTTGTAAGCAGTAGACCACTCTTCCTTGACCACTGTGACCCTTTCCCCTTTATCCCTTTATTCAGGCAAAGAAAACAAAGCTCAGCTATAAGCAATTCTGTTGTCTTTCCCAAAGTTTATATTGAGAATCAGCATATTTCTTCTATGAATTGAGTTCTTACATTTGTGAATCTCTGCATTGCGGTCTTCTGATTTTTGTAACTTTCTATTGAATATTATTTTTTGAAATTTTATGAAATTGCATGCTATGATTTATAAATCTACAATATTTCTCACATACTATCCTTCCACCTGTAATTTTGATCATTAGCTGACGTGTGCTGTCAGAGCACCAGATGCCGCAATTTTATTCCGTCTGTGTATAATGCCTTCCCATAATTTATATCTTCAGGAATTTCTAATGCAAACAAGTCCTACAGTTTAATTTTGTCTGTATATGTCTATCTGTCAGTTGCCTTCCTCTCCTCTCAGTAATGTCTGAATTTATTGCTATTAACTGATTCTGAAAGAGGTATAAAATTATCACAGAGAATTTTACTCCTCTGTCAAACTTGGTTGATATTCTTCAGGAAATTCAGTAGTAGTTTTCCACATGTGTCACTAAAATAAAAGACTGAGTAGAACTCCCCAGTTTAAGGAAAGGTTTTAAAGGAGCTCAATCCTTAAAAGATAGCAAAGTATCCACTTGGGTACTCAGTCTTCATATGTAAATGCATCTTAAATATTTCTTTATTAGTTCTCCTGCTCAATGAATTAATCACAACCAATTTAGCCTCTTCAAGTCTAGAGGGAATAGGTATGTTTGGGTTGTCTGACCTACTGCTCACCTAAATGGGATCAATTAAAAATTAATTGCTGACAGAACGACTGTTACCAAACATTCCGTGTTGGTAACAAAGTGTTGTAATCTTTGTCAGCACAAATGTTTAAGGTGAGAAGGCCTTGCTGTCCTGTGTTGAGGTGCGTGTTGTTCTCCTATTGATGTCCATCCCTGAAGTAACCATTCACCAGGCATTAGAAATGTTATCTGAGGAAGGAGCCACTGTATCTTACTGTCTGACCTCTTCTTCTAGAATTCATTATACCTGCACAGTGTGACAGCCAGAAAGAACCACAGCTGTGATTTAAAAAGTATGCAGTTTTCTATGTATAGTGAGATTAGGTTTATGAGTAGTGGAGGGTTTCTTATAAGATTTCTAACTTTTGAAAAATGCTTTTTTTTGTTAACACCATGTCCAGATTTTAACATACTGCTATAAACAACCCTGGTGCTAGCCATAAAAAAAAGGCAGGGGGGGAATGGCAGATTGATGGGGGAGTGGGCAAACAATAATATCTGGATGCCAGATGGCACCATCATAGTGATGGGGCCAGCCCAGTAAAAAACAAAGGGAAATTCCTGACATGCATTAGCAGGGGCGACAGAGCCCTCAGGGAATTGGATATGGACAGAGAGACCAGTGTGGCAGAGGCACCCAATGTCTCTTTCTTACTTTTCAGTAGGTATTTATGCTTCTAAAGACACATAAGCTATTTTAGTTTGATTTTCCTTATTGAACAATTTCCATCATGTTCTTTATACCTGGTTCACAGGTTTTACTTCACAGTAAGTAAGTTTAAAACTTTGCATTACTGCTGTACTGTAAAAATTGAGCATGTTCTGATTGTTGGATTGCCAAAAAAAACGATAGTGCAGGCATATATCACTTTATCTACAGAGCCATTGCTTGTCCACTTTAGATTCACATAGTGAAAAGGAAGAGTCTTCATATTAATATCTGATATATGTGGTAGGTCAAAGGGAAGGTCATCAATGCACACATTAGCTAAGGATTGCTGTCTACTCATTCGAGGACCCACTATGCACAGTCACAACTACCAAAGATCTATGTGTAACAGCAATACAGGACAGAAACAGTTGTTCCCTGTGGAAAAAGGCAGCAGTGAATGAAAAGCACCAACAGCATCGAATAAAGAAACAAACCTGAAGGAAAAGTCATATTCAAGCAACTTAAAAGAAACTCAATAGAGGGATTGAATGGAATCACTCTGATTGGAATTGGACCTGTGCAGGCTGCCTCCAGTTGTAATACTCTGAAAGATGGAGCCTGATATTTTATCGATAAGTGGTAATGACCACTGTTCCATGTCTATGAATAATGACACCAGCAGCTGTCCAGTGCTGTTATGTGAATATCCTGTGGTGTTACCCAGGCCTTAAAATCCATGAAAAGGTGGTGTTTCCTGAAGAAAGAGGAAGGAATTGCATTTCAGCTCAACACAAGGATTCTGGAAGTCTGTTCTCAGTTCTGGATTCATCACAGAAAATTCCCAAGAATTTTCAAGCAAGCCACGGAACTTTTCATTTCACCAGTAGTATCTGAGTTTAGAGACCTTAATAGATAGGTGTCTCTGCCTTAGAATACTCAGTCCCACTGGTATGTGCATGTCTCAAAACCTCAGACTTTACCTAAGCCATGGATTTAACTAATGATGTTTTAAAATAAACAAACAAACAAACAAAGCAAAAAGGGGAAAAGCAAACAGAAAAACCATTAAGCAGTCAAAATTAAGGGCAATATGTAATTATGTCACAGTGAAGAAAATTAGCTATTTCTCCATAGCTCAAAGCACACCAGTCTGTATACACTTGTTTTTCTTCATAATATATTGTAGGAAACCATGTCCTAGACAGAAGGGGCTGTTGCTACATGCATCAAGAATTTTGAAAATCTCTGAAACACTCAGCAGAACTCTCTGTGGGTCTCACCCTGAACCCTTCCTAGACAGAAGGGGCTGTTGCTACATGCATCAAGAATTTTGAAAATCTCTGAAACACTCAGCAGAACTCTCTGTGGGTCTCACCCTGAACCCACTGTGACCTGCTCTGAAAGGTCTCCCACTGCTGAGCATTGGCGTTGTCTTCTGAATTCTCTTCTGACTTCTCCAGTTACGTATATATTTCTGTGTGGAGGGGAGTATAAATCAGTCCTTAGCTGAAGGAATGAGTTATTGCCTTTGGCATGTTTATTAGGGTTGTTGTTAGAGGGACAATTATTTCAGTGGAATTTAATTAAACAATATGGAATGACAAATGAAACACCTCAGTCATTTCCCATTCTCTAAAAAGTACTTCTCAGTATATCTATTCCACTACTTCCATTTTTAGGTAACTCAGAGGTTAGCATACAGAAATGCCTAATGCTGAGCAGTGAAAGACGGGCTATATGCAGGACAAATAACTTCAAATCCATGAACTGTCTCCTTCTTATTCATATACTTTTTGTGGTTTGCGCTCACCATTTGGCAGCATTTGTCATTAATGACAACACAAAGATCTTTGAAAGCCTTTATAATTTTCTGGTGTTAGGATGGTGGAAAATTTAGAAACATTGTAGATTTATGTTATAAATTCACTTTACATAAATGTTCCATTTGTAATGACCATTACTATATGGAGATTTCTTTGCAGGGTTTAATGAGTTTCCTCTCTTTTTTCTGCTTTTAACTCTTTTGATTCAGCTAATATTCTCTTTACCAGCTAACAGTTATATTAGAATTAAATCACATTTCCAATGTGAGAACTTAAAATGTAGAAATTGAGCCTAGATAGCTTTAAAAAAACCCAAATTCCTGCTGACTTGGGTGAAATAATATAATAGCTGGCATTTATAGATCAAGCGTCATTTTAAAAAGGATCCAGTCTTCTTTAGTAATGTTCTTACTTTTCTTTTGTGTCCTCTCCCTTTTTTTCCACGTTTGTATGTATGATACATGTCATGTGTAAATATTCCAAGTATTTTAAGTATCTCTGTTTTTCTAAATTAGTAATTTTAATACCTTCAAGAATATCCTCCCTTTTGGTTTGGAGTACAGGAGTTCTTCAACAAAGCAAAGTTACAGAACAATTTACAGTGTTCAAAACTATAAGAAAGACAGCTTCTGATGAAGACCTGGACTTTTTTTTTTCCCATAATCTGGTTAGTGTTTCTACCTCTCAGTTTACCAGGTTAAGAAGGTGTACATTTCAACTAGTCAAAATATAGCTAAGTGACAGTGGCTGATGCTTAACTGCTTCATCTCTGAAAGGAGATTTCCTGCATCAAAGTAGAATTTCAGCAGCTGCAGTTATAGTGGCTTGCCTGTGTTGCTGAAGTGTAAAATCCTCTCAGAATTAAAGATATCATCTTGGAAACAAGACTGATATTTTAAGTTAAAATGCCTTATGAGTAGAAAAATAGAACCACTTTGCATCATGAGTTTCCCAAAAGCTTTGCTCCTAAAAGAATTATCTCAGTCTTTGTAGCAGCATTAGAAATATTTTCAGATATTACAATAATATTTGCAATTCATTTCTTCCCTTTCTACTACTTTCCATGTATAGTTCTAGTAGCGGATGTCAGGTTTATAACAAGAATTTATAAAGACCCACAAAAAGTGGGTAAAGAGATGCACACTCCCTGCTCCAAAAGACTGTGATCTTCCAGTCAGGGATCCTGATATATACATCCTGGGAAAACACTGGCTTCCCTTTTATGTTTTGGATTTTTTTTAACTTCAGCATGAAGGGAAAGTCCTTTTGTCAGTGAGAGAAAGGCAGGGGATGAAAGGGAGAAGAGGGTAAAAATATTTTCAAATATGCTGATCACAGAACTAAATATCCCTTTACTTCCTATCAAAACTGTTAATGGGATTCCTATGGTTCCCCTTCCAAGGTAAGAAATGAGTTTGCTAGAGCCCCAGACCATAGCAGAAACAGACAGGTATATTGCCTTTAGCCCTGGTCAAAGCTGTCCAACTCTGGTGTGGCCTGTCAAAATAAAGACCAAAGGAAGATGAATAGTGTCAGTGACAGCCAGGTTTCCATGAAAAACACATCCCAATAGCTGAGTTTGCAGAAGCAGACAGATTCCAAATACTTATTGTTAATGAGGGGGTGTTGTCAGCAGGGATTGTTCTTGTGAGGTTCAGCGAGGATCGGTGCCAGATCCAGCCATTCATTCGTTTGTTCTAGTCCTTGAAGTATATCTACAACCCTTGCCTTAGAACTTGCCTGTGGCAGAACGTTTTGGAGAGCGGCCAATGGAGAAGGCAAGGCAGCCAGATAAAGCCATCTAAATTACCCTATTTTCATAACTTGTGTCAGTGCTCCAATGCCACTGACATCAGGTATCAAAGGACAGATGTTGCAGGTTATTTACCGGCTGCCCTGAAACTATTGTTTCTGCATAGATTTAGGTGTCAGCTTAGTTCAGCATGAGCTCAGCAAAAAAAGGTGTGCTATATTACTGCAACAGAGTAGTAATGATATCATATATATATGGGATGTGAATCTTAGGCTTGATAACTTTGAGTAAAATGCTAGTCCAGTTTATAGCACTGACATTGAAAAAGCAATGACGACAGAGAGAAACTGAGAAATTATTCCATTTTTGAGGAATTCAGTCTGTTTTACTGTAATGACAGCTGCAAAGTGCTTTTAATAAAATATTCATGGACTTCCAGAAGGAAAAATTTGGAGCATATAAGGGTTACTGATCAGTAAGACAAGTGCAACAGATAAACAAACCCACAATAGAAATTAAACACTGTTGCGTTTTTTTTTAATGAGAGAAAGGTAAATGTCCTGTGGGGAAAAAAAATTATTTAGATTTTTTAAATTTGCATTTATATAAATTTTAAAAGAAAAATAAACAACAACAACAAAAAAAAAGCTTAAGATATTATGAATTCTCTTCACCTTTTGCTAGCTTCAAATTAAGACTTGAAAACAGTTCCTGTGACACAAGAAAAACAATTGAAATTATTTTCCACGTAGTTCTGCAACTACCAAATAACAGCAGCCTGCTCAATACTTACTAGTGAAAAAAAAATTAACAACTAATGCAAAAATTATCTAGTTTGAATACTTGGAAAATGTAGCCAGTGGGACCGTCATGTACATTGGGCACATTGGGAGATTGCTAGATGCCTTGAACTGAGATGTTTTAGGATCAAGGTGGATCTTACAAGGGCTTGTCTTGCCTATTGGACATGAAGAGACCTGCTACTGAGCTGTCAATAGAACCTCCTGTGTGTAATTTTTAATAAATCTATGATGGGATGAAGTACTTGTTTTTCATTAAATAAAATTTTACCTAGATAGGACTATCCTGCTTTTGCTTCCCTGTCAGTTTGTGGACATAACTTGCCTTGCTCTCTCCCTCTCACAGGTTTATTCCTGAGGCTTGGTCCACCTGCAGTGTCACCTGCGGAGTAGGCAGCCAGATGCGGCTTGTGAAATGCCAAGTGCTCCTCTCTTTCTCTCAGTCTGTGGCTGATCTGCCCATGGATGAGTGTGAAGGTCCCAAACCCGTGTCTCACAGAGCCTGCTACACTGGTCCTTGCAGCGGGGAGGCAGCGGAATACACGCCAGAGGAGACTCAGCTTTTGTCTGGCAGCCTGCAGGAGCTCGATGAGCTCCATGACTGGGAGTATGAAGGCTTTACAGAGTGCTCAGAGTCCTGTGGAGGAGGTAAGTGCAAAATGTTTCTGTGCTGGATTTGTTTTCCTTCTTCAAGTGTGTGCTTGGCACTTAATGCCTGTGGACATACTGCTTCGCTATGGCTAGTTAGAGTCATAGAATCATTTAGGAAGGAAATAAAACTTTGAAATTGTTGAGTCCAAACATGTTTGAAAAGGCAAGATAAGGAATGCATAAAATCCCATGTGCACAACATATTTTAGCCCAGCACTTCCAGATCTGTGCTCAGATTCTCACTGAGAGTGCTCAGTTTATCACATATTTCTGTTTCCTTTATCAACTGATCACCCAAAGGCAATCACCGAAAAAAAGCTAAATGTTAAAGGGGTCTGATGGTACATGCTAATAATCACAGATAATTTTTAGTTCTTATCTCTTGGTTTGCTCTGTGCAAGCAAAAACATATGGAAGTAAATTGTCCTCCCATTGCAGATGAAAAAAATAATGGATATTTTAAGGGCTCAGCCATTCCCTATCTCCTATCAATAAGGGACATCAGCTCCTATCCCGGTGCAAAAGAAAACTTATGTCAAAATGGCACTAATTATGTGGTTGTCTCCAACAATCACGCTTGGCAATTGTAGTTTCTCAAAATTAATCAAGTTCTCAGGTTGCACATACCATAGACTGTTAACACACGTTTCTGATATCATTTTTTTTCCCCATCATTTTATCTAACTACTTCTGAGAAATATGTCCAGTCCAGTGTCTTTTTAATTAAACCTAGAGTTTTCCAGCTCTTGTCTTTTTACTTTACAGCTTTCAGGTGATTTAAGAAAGGATTACTGTAGAAAAATTCAAAATAAATACTGTAGAACTGAAAAAAACTCAGCATTTTATGAGTTAATAATAGGTACAGATTCACAGGTAATCGGTTATAGTCTTGAAAACCTCAATTAGTAGAAAATAATGCAGAGGTTTTCTGTGCTTGCCTTTGGCTTGCTGATGGTAGTCAATATTTAGAGCAGTCCACAGCTGTCAGACTACTGAAACTTTTGCTTTATTTCCTACACAAAAAAAAAAAAAAAAAAAAAAAAAAAGAGACACTAGTGTATGCTAAATTGTGAGAAACACTGATGTTACATGAGTACATGTCATGTGTTGGTGTTACTGGCATGCAGTAACAATTCATCACACTTTTACTGTGACTACCAAAACCTTAACAGTTCCTAGAAGTATCCTCTTGAAATGAAGTCATTTCTTAGAATACAGAGCTCATGCTTGTATTTTTCAAATGTAACTAACAGAGACTGATTTGTAGGAGATATTTTTCTTTATAAAGTTAATCTCTCAATTGTCAGCAAAAAGTTGTAGCTAAGATTTCTTTTTGTCTGACATCAACTCCAAATTTACCAGATTAGCAGATGCTAAGTCAGATATTTGTGTAGCTGTAGGTGCAAGACTGGTCAAACTAATTTTATTTGGTTTAGAGTCCTGGGAGAAGAAACTGGATAGATGCAGAAGTAACCTTTCACCTCCCAGAAGCAGCAACCAGAAGGAATGAGTTAGTCATGTAGTCTACTGCTGGTGGCTTCATTTCTCAGTGCTGTCATCAAATATCATGTAACAATTATTCTGTCCTGGTAGATATAAACATAGAATTCTCATTTGATGATGTTTTGAAAGTGAACTTAGACTGCCTAGATTCACACCCCACCATTCCACATTTTTATACTGTAATTTCCTATTGAGAACTGATTTCTTTTTTTTTCCCAAGAAAAGCAATTTAAAGCAGACAGCTTTTGTTCTAATCATATTGTGCAGTAAATAATGTTTTGAATTCAATTACTTGGCAAATGAACTCCCTGAAATTCATATACTTTTTTATAAATTAACTCTGTGCTGTGGAACTTCTGATTTATGATCAAAAATTTTTATATTTTCTAAATGTTCAATGAGCCATCCTAATTTAAAGCTTATAACCATTTGCCACATTGACATATCAAAAATAGATGGACAGTTATTGTCATTATGCTGAGACATACTAGTGTGAGATTCAAGAGGAAGCTGAAGAAAGTAATTCTGATAACATTTTTTACTGCTTGAGCTAGCCAGATTTTTTTATCTCTCTCTCTCCTTTTTGTTGCTTTGTTTGCTTGTTTGGTTGGTTTTTGTTTTGTTTGGGGGTTTTTTTGTTTGTTTCAGGGTTTTTTTGTTTGGTTTGGGTTTTTTGTTTTCTGGCACAAGCTATTAAAGCCAAAAAGTGTCAGTAAACATTCTAGCAGTCATATTCAGACAGGAACCCTTTTCTTTGATATCTATGCTGTCAGACAAGATTACTGGACCTGTCAAAGATAAAAAGAAATTTTAATAGACTAGAATACCTGTAGTATGGACAAGAATTATTGGAATTGCAATCAGAGATTACTTAGATGAAAGAAATAAGCATGAGGAATGAACTTACTGTAAGGTTTAAGGATGGTCGGATACTGAAAACTGAAGAACAGTAGCATCAGAGCTCAGCTATATGAATTTGATAACCATCAGCTTGAGAAATTGAGAAAAGTTTGAATTCAAGACCTCATAGTCATCACTTTTCAGTATTCAACACTGAAATAACAGGCAATGGAAAATTATTAAATTGATAATAATTGTTCAAGCGCTCACTGGTGACACCCTTCAGAGAAAAAAAAACTGAAGCTGTGGAAGTACACTCAGTTTACAGAACTTTATCTGAGAAGGACATACAGAAAGGGAGTGAGCTGTCTACCTAGCAAACAGAAACACGTCAGCCAGCATGAGGCAGGAATCTATAGTTTCTTTCCACAGAGTCTGGAAAAATACTTTTGTTGTTTCCATACCTCTGGATCAGCAGCCCTTCTTTCTTGGCTTCATCAAATTGTTCTCGATATCAGGCCTGCACAGATGTTCCATGCAAAATAGAGACCAGTAGTTTGAACACAGTGCCATTTCCCATCAGGTAGAGAAGCACCTCTGTTCTTCAGCCAGGAGCATTCCATCCTGAAGAATCCATATGCCTGTGCTTGCTGCACACAATATGGTTACATGCTCAACAGAAAAATGATTGAGCTAGAAAAATAATGAACATGACAGGGCAGTGAACATCTTGTTCATATATATAAGTTTTGTAAGTTTCTTTTCCTAGATATAAATCAGTACCATTAGTTCTGTCTTTTTACTAGGCTACCCACTTTACAATTTTTTTAAGTCTTTGGAGAGATGACTTAAATAACAAAATTGAAAATATGGGGCCACTCTGTAAAGAAGGAAACCACCACCAGCACTGGCTTTGGTGACTGACTTTGGCAATTTTGATGTTGATCTCCATGTCCAAAACTGTCAAATTTCTTTTTTTTTTTTTTGGTATCTGGGATACGGGAGACGCACTGCACAATCTGGTGCCGTAGCCATGATCTTAATAGGCTGACACACATAGCAGCCAAAAAATGGTTAACAAGCCTCTTTTCTGGGGCCTTAGCCTATACTGAGGTTAAGGAGAATGAATTTGTGAATAATGTCAGGAATACAGAGGCTGTGATCAGCTATATAGCACTTTGGTCCTCTTGAAGGATAGGAAATAATTTTTTGCCTAATGACATGCTCTGGAATTAGAAATACCAGAATATATTGTTAACTCTCTGACATGTTTTTGGAGGTCTTTAAGGTCTTACAACACTTTGTCTTGGTTTGGGTTTTTTCCCTTCACATTAGCATCTTTAAAAATTTGTGAGATATTTTGAAAAAGTGGTGTTTTTGAAACTGTAATGCAATTGGTGGGAGTTCAGTCTTTTCCTAACTTGGGTCTCAGGAATGAATGTAAAAACCATACTTTCATTGTATTTGAACCACTGTAGATCAGATTCTCAGGAAGTTCAGGCCAATTATTATCCTCAGACCCTCTCAGACCCCTTTTATCCATGGGGAAATAGATGTTTTCTCATCCATTCCTCTTCCATGTGGCATGTAATGTTGCAATCCCCAATGTTCTAGCTTTCTAACCTTGTGATCCAAAAAGCCTGTGATGCCCCTACTCATAGGAAAAGTGGGACTAACTGGTATGCCATATACTACATAAGGATTTTGGCTATAACAAGGATTTTCTGAGTAAAACTATAATAACCAAATCTTCCAGTTTCTCTAAGTCCCAACAGCTGCTGTTCTTTCCTAGGTCTCTCTAACCTGTTCTTTCCCAACTCTCAGATATACTCTGTGGGTTCGCATCTCTAGTTTGGGTGCAGGCCCATGGATGCAGAAGAGTAAACTGAGAAGAGCTGAATTGTCTGACCACGTTTTACTTTGCTTTTGCAAGTCAAACTGTTGGTTAAAATGCAGCATGTGAAAGCCGTGGCCATCTTCACACCTTAGCCTGCTTGGCCTGAGAAATAAAGTGCCTCATTGCACCTTATGCAAAAAGGGAAAAAATAAGAGCACTGGACAATTTTCTGTCCAGGGAGGTGAGCAGTGAATGAATCCATGGACTATTCCCTGCAGCACTGAGAAACCTCTCTCAGCTAGCCTGAAAGCAGTGACGAGTGTGCAGCTGGGGCTGCAGCCCCAGAGCTGCCAGCCCGAGGCTGGCTGTCCCCACGTGCTGCAGCCCTGCTGGTCCTGCTGGCCCACGGCTGGTCTTGGCTGCCCCTGCCGGTACTGAGAGCTGCTTGTGACCATTGTTTGTTGTGTGCAGGTGTCCAGGAGGCTGTGGTGACCTGTCTGAACAAACAAACTAGGGAGATTGCAGATGAAACACTGTGTGTTAGCAGCCGTCGTCCTCCACAGCTGCTGAAGTCCTGTAGCCTGGACCCCTGCCCCCCAAGGTAGGCGTAATTTTAAGTGACCCCGAACTCTATTGCGTTTCAGTCTGGAGGAACACACTGCCTCAATCATGCCTTTCTTAGACTGCAGGGGCTTACACCCTCTTCCTGCCACAATCATATTGACCAGGAAGTACAAAGCAGCAGTGAGACCAAAGGGCAGATCAGACTGTTTGCCTCTGCAAGTCCTTCAAGTAAACAGTTTATGGATTGGCTTAACTTTACCCAGAGTTTTGTCAAGTTTAAAGAGACTTCTCCAACCTCTCCTCTCAGGAAAGGTTTTGCAGAACCTGCTTGTCCCCGGCCTCAGGCAGTTTCCACAATCATGACCCTAAAACAACAGATCTTTCTCTGCAGAGATTCACATCTTCACCCTTGACAACAGAAAATAGCTTTTATGACATTCTTATGGTTTATTTAAATAGGGTCTGTCAAGTCTATAGGATGTACTGTATACATATTGTCTTTTTTCCCAGCTGTACGCAGGTGCATTTGCTCCACTGTGACACTGCAGCAGATTTTAAATACATTTACATATAACTTTGGACTATTTAAAACACTTAGTGCTGTCCAGGTGGTAGATATACCTTAGAGCATTTATGGATAGGTGTATGTATGGTTTATAAGACAACATGCTACAGAGAGGTATGTTGTTAATGAATAATAGTAGATTTGGGATATACAGAGAAGGTTCACATTAAAAATCAAAGACAGCCAGCATGAAATAATTATAAGGACATAAATAACAGTTTGGTTGGTAATCAGGATTTTGAATTTGTAACGGGCAGACACAAATAGATTCAAATTCCTTTACCAAAGCATTACAAGTACTGCTTATGGTGATACTGCAACCCTAACTTTGTTATATTGTCTTTAGTGCTGGAAATAGTACAGAAATATTATATAAACATTTGAAAAAATTACTTTATAGGTGGAACTCTTGGGGTTATTCATAGGTAGAAGCATCAGTGCTGCTACGAGTGCATGCTAGAAGATTGAACAACCACCAATTCTGACATGAAAAATAAGTACTCAGTAGTTAAGAAAAAGCAAAACACACTTCTGTAAGCCAGTATTTATGACTTTTGTTACAAAAGTAATCTGAGTAATTGTGTGAATACTCCTTGAATTAATCTGCATTATTATCCACAGCTCTGTGGTAACCTTGCTACCAGAGTGGAGCTACTTTAAAGCAGCCATAGGTATGCATTTCCCTCAGTGGAGTACAAGAGGATCATTCTGTAGGTGAGAATCAGCTTGTGAAGCAAAGGTGAAAGGGGATTGCTGCAGAGGGGGAAGACTAAGCAGCTTTAATCCACCCCTAGGGCTGCAACTGAGAAGAGGGGAAATGACTCTCTCCCCTGTATATACAACTTCTCCTGAAGCCCCCTCGGTCTGGAGGAAATTGCCTGTCTGCAGGCCCAGGATGAAGAACAGCACCTATTCTGCAAAACTGTTCCTCTGGTCAGAGCAAGCAGGCCTGCAGACTGCAGGCAGCATGGCTAATGGAAAGAGAGGCAACAAAGCAAGTTGATGTGTCTCCCAGGCAGGCTGTGATGGGATAATTATCTTATTTCCTTCGTGTTTCTGAAGTGCTACACCTAGCATTGTCACTGTGTTAAACACAATGGTATATTAATGAAAGAGTGTATAAAATCTTTTGTTTTATAATCATTATTCACAGGCACTCTAATACTTTTTTTAAGGAACAAGTAAATGACAATTTATTCAAATCAAGATTTTCTCCTTGTTTAAATCATAAGATACTTCAGAATCCTAATTAAAAAAAATTTGATCCAGGAGTCTGATGAAAATTTAGGCTAAAATCATGTCCTTATGTATGCTGATGAAGGCATTTCTACCCACTGACAAGTCCAAGAATTATAATACATTGAGGCTGTGAACTTAGATCTCTTCTACAGGAGTTTCCAAAATCTGTGAACCATTGATACTTCCCAGAGCTCTTGCTGATGACTTATAGAGAGAGCTGGCTGGTCTCATAGTGTTGGCTCTTCTCTCTGTTTTCCAGCTGCTTAAGTGCATTAACAGAAGCTAAAATTATAAAAACCACTTTCCTAAAATATTCTTGGTGTATAAGTGACTGCTAGAGTACACAGTTGTTGTGTGTAGAGGAGGCATTCCACTGAAAAGGCAACTGGGATGGTGATGAATGTCTAGGTAGCAAGAAAACACTGTCCACAGCATGAAGAAAAGGCTGAGAAGCCTTACCCAAGAGAATAAAAATTCTCTCCTTATGTATTTAGAGAAATTATTCCAGCGACATTTCTTGAACCTAAGCAACCCAGTATGCTTAGAATTTAATGATTATGTCTAAAATCTAGTACAGTTAAAGATCTTGCTTAGGGAGAATGTTTAAATGTTAGAACTGCAGAGCTTAATGCTGCTTCTGCTACGGGCATTTTTGGTTACATGGGAGGCTACTCTGTAGCCTCTCAAAGAGCTAGTCCTGTACGATGTAAATAATTGTTTTAGCTGTTTTACTATAGATAGACAAAAGCACTGAACTGCAGAATCTCATCAGCCTTTCTGGAGGGTCAGAAAAGCCCTCGAGAAAGAAATTGTAGAAGTAGTAGGTGAAGAGTAATTTCATTCTGGTTTTGAGCCATCTTTTTTCTTTTGGACACTTTAGAAGAATGATACTAAAAGGATCTGCACAGTAACTGGGTTAGTGTTCATTTTGTTCCTTACTGAAAAAAGAGGTGTATAGATTAGAAGACTTTCTTGCTCACTTAATACTTGAAATTAATCTATGGTGTCATCAGCCTTTTCAATCTGTAATTTTGGAACAGAATATAGTAAAAGGTAAAACATACTGGTAATATACTTCACATTTATGAAAACACTGAGAGATGATGGTGCTTGAACAGCAGCTGAGAATGCTTTGAAATTTTCTTTGGAATTCTGGCTTAATATCTTAGGACATTACTGTTCTGAGTACATGGAAGAGAAACAAAAACTAAACCACGGAAATCTGTCTTCAGATACTCACAGCTGTATGGAGTCAGAAAAATACTTAGAGAAGAAAGATTAAGAATCAGGAAGAGCTGCACACAAAAAATTTGAAGATTTCCTCCATATTCAAATCCCAATTGAGTCTCCGGAGGTTTCAGATTTTATTGAGAGTTTTTTGCTTATTTCTTCAAGAACAATAGCAGAGAAAGAGTCCAGACCCTCTTCTCCTGGAAAGCAGTGTAACAAAATTTCCCATTTTGAACTGAATTAAGAAAAGGGGAAACACTGCAGAGCTGATTGCTAAGATGGGAGCTAATAACTGACTTTCAACACAATAGTTACAGAGTAAAATTTGTTGTCATTGACTTAGTTTAAAATTTCTAGAAAAGGATATAGCTTGTTTTGATGAACTAGGAGAGCCAGCATGCTTCCTACAGGAAAGAGAGGAATGAAGACTATGACAATTTTAATTCAGTCATTCAGTCATTACTTAATTTGTGTCAATCAAGCTGTACCACTTGAAAAATTACATAGCAATAACTGAACAGAGCACAGTCTTCCAGAAGTAAACTCAGAATAGCTGTTCAGTGTCTAAAAGTTTCTTCTCTAAGTGAAAAATACAAAAGAGAAGATCCCTCAGTTTTGCTAATTGCTATGTTAGTATTCTAAACTACCAAAAAAAAAACAAACCCCAAACAATTAGAAGAACCCTGTTTCAATGTTAGCTTGACTGTTTTCAGCAACAAAATGACTCACATGCAAAATGTGTCTTTTCCTAAGCCTCCACAGCCTGAATTACAGAGGCAGTCATCATCTAATCAGATATAATTGCTCTTGTTTATAAGACCAACAGCATGAGCACCTCATGCTGAGCCAACAAGCTCTACCAAAGGGGTGAAAGAGAATGTTGTAACTCTGTTGTTAATTATAACTGCTCAATAATTTGGTCAATGCGTGTTGAAAAGTTTTGGTAAACATGTATGGATGGAGTAGTGAAGAGAAAATCAAAGCAATGACAACCAGATGGCTGAAAATTGAGGAAATTACAGGCAATTTTTACAGCTTTGTTCATGAATATTTTCAAAACTGAACTTTTATTTCTGTGCAACAAAGAACAGCTGAATTCTACAAAATGAAGGGAAAAAAAAAAGAAGAAAAAGCAGATGGTTCTAGGAATAGCACAAAATTTCACCCCGGCACTCTCCCTTTACCATTTCAATCCTCTGTGGTTTGCAGGAAAAGACAGGAAACTATGCAGGAAAAGACAGGAAACTATCTGAGTAGTTCTGATACCTAACTGAAAGGGCAAACGTTGCCTGAGTTAGCCTTGGTTCTACCTCATTGCCTAATTTTATTTTTTTTTTCTTTCTTTTTCTTCTCTTCTGTGTCAGCTTGATTTGTGTTTGTGTGATGAATCACCTGTTCTTATTTTAATGTTTATTTGCCAAATGTGGTATTGTCATCTGTTTTGCTCTGTTTGCCAGCTGAAGTTAAACTACAAAGGATTAAAAAAATCAACATTCTTTTTCAAGGCATTAGATTGCTGGTAGACCAGACTCAGCATAAGGCATGCTCCCATCAACAATCTGAAGTTAGTTCAATATGGGTGAAAGGGCCAGAGCTTTCTCTAATCCATTACAGGGGACCTGTGTGTGGAAGGGTGTTAATACAGATGTGTTCTGCATTGGTGGGGGGAAATACTGGAGCATCTCTATATAGTTCATGAAGAAGGTTAAAAGGTCTGCAAGTCATTATGTCTACAGATATTGCACTACAGCCTTACTGGAAGGGGATACAAATTATTTTTATTATCAAAAACTACCAGTTCTTGCATTTTGGAGTTTTTTCAGAGTTGTAAGTTAGAATTAGCATTAATGAGGCAAAGATGGTATTAGCGTCTCTTTGTGATGCAGACAGGTTTTCAAATCCTCACAAACCAGTGACGTATTTTTTAAATGGGATGCATTTAGGTCTATTTTTAGCTGAAGCACATTAAGAATGGCTTTGGGACCCCCTTAAGGTGTAGCCCA